TCGCTCTCAATCCACTCTTGGTGACTTTTAATATCCAGTAAAATTCTATTGTTTTTTTCCATATTACTATTCTTTTTGCCTCATATTTCTGTTCATGGAGGGAGAGTGGAAACTCGAACTGCTGCACACTTGTGCAAAGTCCTACGTTGAAACCAGACAGTCAGTAAGTCACTGAGGTTCTTTTCAACTAAAATGAAGCTGAATTCAGTACTAATTACTTAAAACCAATAACCACACGGAAATACATGGGAAGGTACATTTTCACATATTGTTGTCTACACAGAAATTCTCCAGTTTGGTAATAGCCCAACACAATGTAATCTGGAACCTAAAGACGTATACTTCATCATATTTGACTAGAAACGCTTTCATGCATTTTAAAAAAATCATTATTGAGGAAGGAAGAACAAACACTGCGCCCCGTAAAATAACATGAATCCGTTTTATTTCGTTGGTTCTCATCAGCTGTGTACAACCTAATGTTCTTTAATAAAATAAGTCAGTATAAAATCGCAACATACTTTTGTCTATCAACAGGCATATTATCGTAAGAGCGTCATAGTAAATTAAAATGTCAGGATGATAAGGTATCTGAAGTCGCACAGTGCATATATACATGTATGTCTTGTTAGAGAAAAGTTTAGATAAAGCAATAAGAAGACGTAATTTGTCTGAATCGTGTGTGTAATGTTGCATTTGCGCAACACATTTCGAACAATCTGATCACACACACACGGACTTGTCATATGAATATATATGAAATTAATAAAGAGTTAAGAGGTGAGAAAATAAACTGTGGTCAAGTTAAAAGGACATATTGAGGGTCAAAATAACAATGAAGATCACTAAACCAAATAACAGAGGTAATAGTGCATCTACCCTGGCTGGTATCAAAACAAAATTTACCAAGGAAGATGGTTTAGTGTGATGACGAATTGTTGCTTTGAACGCATAAAGGTGGTTTGAACTTCCTAATTGAGCTAGGGCTTCCACAAACTTTAGGATACGCCCCAAACACGTTTATAGATAGGTTTAAAAGATGTGTTAACGTCAATTTTATGTCCTGTCTCTATAATATGTTTCGCAATAGAAGGGCTAGTTCTCCTGTTCTCACCATTAATGGGTTCTGGAGATTTCATTTGCTTTTGGAGCCATTTAGGAATATGCTCTGAAGCCCTTATTCGCAGAGATCGATGGGTCCTCACTATGTATGTGTGGCCTTACGTACATTCAAATTGGTAAATACAGTGGGATGTGACATCATTTTTCGCATGTTCGAAGGGCTTAGATAGATATATTGGCTTTACATTCTCTATTATTATGATATTCACTGCATAAAAAGTCTTTTTGACAGCAGCGTTCAGTCTTTGTCTAGTTATCAAGCTGCTTTGATGCCCCATATAGGGTATCTTGATGTACACATCTTTCTTAGGGGCGAGTTGGAAAGTGGGTCTTGGTGTTCCACTGACTACTTCATATCTCCTGATGAACTTGTCTGGATGATTGTTATCAACCAGAGTTTGTGTCAACTTTCTTTCTTCTTCATCAAGTGTGTCTTCAGTGCATATTCGTTGAATTCTACTGAAGAGGCACCTTACTAAGGCTCTTTGGTTCCGAACAGGTCAGAAACTGTGATAATTAAGATACTGTCCTGTCCAGGTAGGTTTTCTATAAATAGATCTTTTTATTGACCCATCAAGCCGTCAGTCGACTAAGCAATATATCTAGGAAAGATAAACAATTATCTTCCTCTTCCACAAATGTAAGTGATATGCTATTCTGAACTTCATTCATCATCGATTTAAAATTGAGGTGGCAGAACAAGACGCTTATCACTGATGATTACAATATCATCTACATACCTTCTATAAAGTTTATCGAAAAACCAAATGATAAATTTGTTGTCAAGGTGGTAACAAAACTTAGTTAGATAAAAGAAGATAAAAATTTAGTGTGCAAGAGGTGAGTCAAATGAAAAGATGATGATGTAATACGACAAGTGGAACTCCAAAGATTAAGAAAAATAATTATCTCTTATAGAAAACAAACGCAACAAAAGGGGGGATAACAAGACACATTAATGAAATTAGAAAACAAAGAGCTACTAAGCGATCAGTTACCAGGCTAACTGAAGTCCAACAACAGATTATAAATAGTACGCAGCCGATGACCACCAACGAAATAAAACGGACCCATGTTATTCTGCGCCAGTGTTTGTCGTTTCTCCGCTCAAATTTTTAAAACCTAGCGCTGATAAGGAGCATCAGCATCGGTCAGAACACAACTGCATAAGTAAATCACAAAATATAAGTCTCTAGATCAAAAATTAGCCCTCTAATGCATAACTGTACGATAAAACTGATTCATGTGCGTCGGTGGCACAGCGGTTAGGACGCTCGCCGACCATGCACATGGTCCACGGTTCGATCCCCAGTCGACGCACACCGGATATCAATGGTCAGCCTGCTAAATTTGGGCTACCGATATCACATGCTGAAAGTTCCATACTTGTACCAAAATGCTGTGTGGAATCAAGTTATACTCAAAAATTTTTAAAAAATGTACCCATATTAGACGTTTACAGAAATTAATTTTAAACATATGTGTTGAATATTTGCCAATGTATTATTGAAAATAGGTTTTCGTTTTTCTGCGTGGTTTCACACACGTTCGTCTCGCGCTCTTCAAATTTTGATTTCGTTAACAACAATACATGTTTCCAAGTTTTCACTTGTGCCTCTTGATACAACATTGTTTGACAAATTAATCGCATACAGTGTTAGCTATCACATCTTAGAACGTAAAGACATGAATGTACTATAATATTATAATCGGAATCATGTTTAATACCCCCGTAAAATACTCAGAAATGATCACGAACTAAAAAGTAGTGTTGTTATCGTTTCGTTTACCTTATTATATAAATATGAAGCTGTGAAACCTAACTGCTGTGCTGATATCTCTTCCGTAAGACAGTAGTGTTGTGCTTATACAGCTAGATCTTAACTTTATATATATATATATATCACACATTCTGATGTGGTTGTGTTCTCTGAGCTGGATAGTTTATTTGCGAAGCTTTCATTGCCTAACTAGACAACATCTTCAGCGCATACTTCAATTTGTTGAAGTGAGCTTTTAGATTTCTCCACCAGTTTATTTGTCTAGTTGCCTAGTGGTGGGGCAATGAAAGCTTCGCAAATTAACTATCCAGCTCAGAGAACACAACCACATCAAAATCACCCACCTGAGCTATATATCTTCTCCATCATATCACACATTCTAGTTAGTGTGCGTCGGTGGCACAGCGGTAGAAGCTCCCGACCATGCTTGGTTTGGGGTTCGATCCCCGGCCGCCGATACACTCCTTTACCTCGCTTAGCCAGTAGTTAGACTGGTAAAGAGGAAAGGTTGGGCATGAGGCTAGCAACCCCATCCTGTGAAAATAATCACCACTGCTACAGAAACTTCAAGTCTTTATCTTGAAGCCCTATGTTCCATTGGGAAAGTAAAGGGATTAAAAAAACACATTCTATTGCTTTGATTCCTAGTGTTATCAGTGCTTGTAGTGACCCGTTTTATTATTCATCATCGCAGTACTTTGATTTGTTTATTACTCTAAATCTCGCATGTTAACAATTGATGCTTTTGTGCTCGTTTGATTTTTGAATTTTGATTGCTGCAATAATACACTATCGTATTCCTTCGCAAGTGCCTTTTGAATTACGTTGTGGACGTCGAGTAATCACAACGTTAGCACACAATTATAAACGCGAGGAAGTACTAGAATATACGTGTACTCTAGTTTAGTCAAAATATAGCAGCACAACAAGTATGTCAGCAATAACTTCTTTCTCTTTATACCCTCACCTGAGTTATGCTCACACACACAATGAACCACACAAACACATACACACACTAATGATTGCTATTACATCCCTACATACTCACTTCTGCTGCTACTTATTAAAGTCATTATTTAATTAGGAGCTGTTCCATCGGTTGCACTAGCTTGTATGGCGCGAAATTTGAGACCATTTGTAAATACTTTTATACTTGCTAAAACACCTTAGACTTCGTTGTCAAAGTGCATGTCTAAATGCAGATTATAACCAGTATACTTTATCACGAAAGTATAACAACGAACTTTAAAGTAGCGTTTACAAACAACTCATGCAAATCAAGAATACCTGGTATAATCACTGAAAAAAGGAACAATTTTAGATGTGTTGTAATACTTCAACTATTCCCTGATGCGAACTCACGTGAAATCACATTTATTACATACACCACAAGCCAGAAGAAAACCGGCAATCGCCGAAAGACTTCATAAAATTTTGTAAGATAAGCACTTTAGACAGAGGGTAGTTGGCGCATATTCATTCCGAGTTTGATTATAGACTGATATCAGTTACAGAACCACTGAAAACCAGGAAGTACTGGACAGCTGTTTCATCCTAGTTTGAGAATCATCGGTAGTATTCACCAATTGCTCGAACCCAGGACCTTCCGGTTACAAGGCAAGCTCGTATACCATTCAGCCACTAGGACTCGATTCAATGGCCAGCCCATGAATTCTAACTTCTACCAATTCGTGATTTAGTGCGACTGGCACCAACCAATGTCATCGGTGGGAAATCCATCCTCACACTTGACTAGTTGGACCTCACTGGTCACGACTTCTCACTAGAACTCCAGGAAACTCCGTCCTGTAGAAGTTAGAATTCATGGGCCATTGAATCGGCTCCCAGTGGCTGACTGGTATACGAGCTTGCCTTGTAACCGTTAGGTCCTGGGTTCGAGCCCCAGTGGGTGTGTACTGACTTATAAAAAAAATCTGAATACCACACAATTTACGAAAATTTAGATGCGTAACACGAAAAAATTTGAAAAAAATGAAATACAAAACTAAGCGGTGAGATTTAATAAACACTAGTCTACATTGCGGCTTATCGTGGGTGTGATAAAACAAAATAAAATGAATTATCAATTCAACTTACATAACCTCCCATTGAAATTCCATGAAGTGCAAACGGTCCATAACCATTCTGTTCACACCAATCTAACAGCGCACTGCATTCCATTATTAGAGCTCCGCCCATGATGAACAGATCAGAGACGAAATTCAAACTAGAACCTCTAGAAATACAAAAAAGAAATTCATCGATAGACTGTATCCTAACTCGGAGTTATGTGTACTCAACAAAATTATGCAGAAACTCACTCTTACTGTGTACACCAACACCAAATCTACAAAGGTTGAGAATATACTTGAACTAGTCCTTACATATACATTTTCGTCAACATCTGTCTACTGGGAAAAGTTAAACGGCAACAGTAAAGAATAGACACCAACTTCAGACGACCTTTAAACAGCCAATCAGATTCTTCTAGGTGAAAAGTGGTACTTAATTTACAAAGAAGTGTATCTACGATATATATGTAATAAAAATGAATCATATAGGGTATATATCTCTAATATGCTGCAAAAACTGGCCCCAGATTCTCATAGAAGTGGTTATAGACATATCAAACCAATGTATTCTCTATTCATGTCGGAAGAGCCTAACCCTTCAAGAGATTTCCTTATATAAAGTGGTTAAATGTATAACCGTCAGTAGCCCCGTAATACTTTTTCAGAGTCATTATCCCTCCACATATCATGTTTATGCGCGATATGCCCATCCATCCAGATGACTGTAGGTCATGGTACTTTGAGACCCGTTGACATTTCTGACACTATTCTCAAACCTACTCCTTACTCTAACCATAATTCTAACTCCAAATTCTAACTTTAAACCTAAACCTAACCCTAGACCTCAATCTTATAAGCCATAAGCCTAGCTAACGGTACAGATTTGCAGAAAAAACACAGTAAATAACTAGAATACTGTATCTATCCTCTCCAAGTCCAAAAAGGCAGGCATGACTTGATTTGGAATGATATTTCACAGCATTCCCTGTGTCTGATCGGTTCTTAAGGGTCAACTTTTGAAAGACCTTGACTATGGCTATGATACTTTAACTTCGCCAATTTATTTAATAAAAGCACACAGTGAAACAGTATTATTTACTAATGTTTTGAGCACAGTTTATTGCTCATAATCATATCAAGGCCTTGAAATAGGGAAAGCAATGATATGACAAGGACACGATGCCTACTCATACAGACACTAACTGTTAGTCCAAGGCATGTATGCTGAGGTGCCTACAGTCACAGTAATCTTTGGTTGTATGTTCTAACTGGTAAAAACTAATGATCGTTCGCACTGACAGGTGGATTTAAACATTAGCTTCAGTTTAAATCTGACAGCGTGTTTATACTTACTGCATCCCTTTCATTTTGTAGTACCTCAAGAAGGGAGAATTTCGGGGGAAAATAATACATTTCTACAATTTCCAACATATATTTGCCTACAAACCTTTTAACTGAGTTCAGAGCCGATGACTGTTTTTATTACGTCCTTTACATGTTAATTGAAAGATTCACCCAAGTGATACGACACACAGAACTTTTATGTCTTATTTTTATCAGTATTTTCTGTAAGACTACTGTATATTCATCTGACGTATTACATCAAGGAACTCCTCAAAAGGTCATTAAAATATGGATCGACACTTCCTTAGTAGTAAACTATACACAATGATATGGGCAAAATACAGATTATATTAATTCCTAAAACATGCAGCAACAATACTTGAAGCAAATAATGAAAAAAAAATAGCAAATAAATGAAGAAACATACTTTTGGTCCTTAGGTTTCCGAGTGGAATAAAATGGATTCATTATAATAAGAGATGCAATACCATCTTCAATCAATTGATTGGCGAGAAATAATCTTCTTCTGGAGTAATTCTAAAAAAAGTAAAGTATACTAGACGATAATTACATGATCACCCGTGCCAGCAAAGTGGATGCAAACTGGACGATAATTTGTAGACCAGGCTTTTGGTATAACCATTTGAAATCTGAAATATACTTTGAAAACACCAAAATTTACCTTGAAACTTTATTGTCTTCTTTAAGTGCATTGGGAATGACAGTATCAAATGGAGATAAGAATGATCCTTCGATTTGTACAGTACGCTTACCCTCGGTTCTCTGAACATGAATTCACATATGTACTGAAAATACCTTCTCAATATTGATATTAGTCTTACACTTGACTGAACAGTAGATGTCCCTCTGTTTGACAATCTTCATATTCTCAACCAACCTATACGGGTTGAGATTACACTTGAACATTTAAAATAAAATCCTACTTAATAAGAATATCTGGCCTCCCCCAACCCTTGCTGAAGAATTTCATCGGTAGAACACTTCGGTATATTTTATCAAAGGTACTCATTTCCGCTCCTGGCTTTTTTTTACTACATCTACATACTAATGTCCTTAACTGGAGAAATCGTACGTTAACTTAATGGTGACCCTGAGAACAACCTTGAGTCCTATAAAAATACTTCAAGTTAACAAACTCTTCCGTAAACCAACACACTTAATTAAAAAGCGCTTCTTGATAACTTTGTATTGTTAAAAAAACCTTTTTGATATAATACTTCCCTCATTCTTGGGTAAGATTTAATAATAAAAGTCTTATCCAGGACTCAATATTGTTGTGGTGACTCAAAACTATTGGCTTATAGCTGTCATCGTTCATGAACAGACGCACATAAAACTGTGCCACTTCATTATAACCACTGAAAAGCTTTCTTTTAAGGGATACCAAGTGTTTAAGTCTCGACACACCCGATAAAAACACCTTCGCTAACGTTACAAAAGCTACCATGGAAACCAAATTGCGAATATATAAGGGTCCGATGACACATCTAGGTATGTCATTTTATGCATCCGATGCGCGCGGGCGGCTCGGTTTTACAACATCTGGTCAGTGATGAGTAGCAGCCACTTGATTTTCTCCAAACGGCCTCAGACTACGGAAAGTACAGTACTTTTGATAGGGAGCCACTGGTTATTAACTATGCTCTACGTCACATTCAAAATTCAGTGAAAAGTTGTGCATCATTATTTTCACAGACCATTAAGCTTCAAGATACTCTCTAGCTTCAACATAAGAGATAGGTACCAAGAGAATGAAGCCTAACATACTACATTTCACAGACTACTTCAAGCATCTACTGTGTATCTAAGAAGCATAACGATGTCTCAGATGCCTTTTTGCAAATCTCCTTCGCCTACATTAAGGCTACAGACCCTCTGAAACTGACTCGTCCTAATACACATCACAGTGAACTTAAACTTCAGATATCTTCCACGACACTAAATTTTCAAGAGAAACCAATATGGTAATCCTACTTTGTGACGTTTCTATGGATACACTCCCTCCTTTCGTGTCCCAAAGTTACTTGTATAAAGTCTTCAACACGCTACATGACTGATCTTATCCAGGCATTTCAGGTACATTAAGCTCATCAATAAACGGTCTGGCAGGCATCTATAAGAGCGGATTGCCAGAAAGCCCTGGTGGTAAGTATCTAATTCTAGATACACGTCTCTACAACGTTCACTTAGATTTCTACTATATATTCATCTTTTGCATGAAACAAAGTTTCACTGGTGTGCCGACGTCCTACTTTGGCCGTTTTCTTCGATGACCTGAAGCAATATCCTAAAGGACGTATCTGATAAAACAGTAGCATGCGACTTCACTGGAAAGATGGATTGCGAATTTCACATGCCTATGTCCCGTAACAGCTGACTGCTGGTGACTCCTTTATTGTATGAACTGTAGAAAACAGCTTATGATCCTCAAATTAAAGATGTAGTAGAAGGCTACTGGGCTATCAGCCACAAAACTTGCGCATTGGACTCAGCTGCTACCCTTAGTTAAAAACGGCTTTTAGGATTCGTTGAAGACTAATACCAGATGTACGACTTTTGAGTTGCCAAATGAAGCAGCACTGAGACCACCAGGTAAGATTATTTCACCCTCCAGTTTTCTATTAACTATTGATTGCACCTCGTACGTCAGTATCTTGCAAAATTAATGCGAGCATTTAACTCTGACGTTCACCGACCAAAAACTACATTTACTTTTTGTTTGATCGTTTAAAAAATCATTTGTTCGTCCATCACAAATCTGTAAGTCAACCACTGTAACCTACATACGATGGGAAATATATTTGTATTTATATACATATGTACATATGAAACTTGTGGACAAAGATTTGGTTTTAAATAAAATCAGTCACGAAAACTGTGTAAACTTTCTGCACACACTGCTTGTCAACCCAAAAGATGCTTTTCATTCGACCAATGGATTCATTGTTCATAAAGGTACTTTAAACATACCAACCCATACTCACGGAGACATGTTGGGTGGCTACTGCAAGTAGCAAGTAAATAAATAAATAAATAAATTTATTCTCATAGTACAGTACATGAGGGACGCCAGTTTACAGGCATCATCAAATTGTTACAGAAATAGAACCATATAATTTAATCACAATTTACAGCCAGTAGCAAGATATGCTTTACATGTTCGATGGAGATTATACATACACTTGATAAATGTTAATTCCAGTAGTATAAAACAGCCTTTTCACTTATATACAATCATTTCTGTGCAAAGTTGGAAAAATCTGCTAGATTGTCAGTGAGTGCAACACAACAGGAAATACAGGAGTATTGTCTTCGCATTAACAAAAAAACCAGGTCTTTGGTGGATGGATTATAAGTGCCTGGGAAAAAAATAAAGCTTGAAGTAAATATTCATACATAACTTTGTTGTGTGCAGAGTCCTCGAATTATAGTTCATTGATGTGTTATTTTGAAATCAGTGATGTGTTTATCTCATTTGATCTGCAATCTCATTGTTGGGAGTAAGTACATAAGCTTCGGACGCATTAATTAATGGATTTCTACTGATTACGGGTATTTTCTTAGCGTGAGGAAGGTTTATGTATTTCAGCTGTTCCGACAGGAGTTGAGAATATTAACTGCTCAGCAACATTATGGGTATAAGTTCATCACATTATCTAAGGAAAGGTGGGTTGCAGTTGGTGACGGATATATGGTGCCCAACGAGCGTTCATCTGTCCTTGTGATGTTGTGGTGAGTTATACCTTTTTCATGTTGTCGGTTTATGTCCATTTTATTCCACTTATTGTGTTGGGTAGTAGTTTTACAAACGAGATTTCTTGTCTGTTTGAGGATACGTATGTTAACCGTTAATGTTTTATCTAGAATTATAAATATAGGCAAAAAACAACAGGTGTAGTATTTAAGCTTATACATTAAATGGACCTATAATTTCGGAGGCTCTCAGATAGGAACTAGAACTAATATCGTTTGCAAACTCTTGTAGTTTGTCATTAAGCACCTTTTTGAAGGAGGCCAATGTACTTGCTTGACGCATTTCCATTGGCAGTTTATTCCATATCTGTGCATACCTAATCAAGTAAAACTTTTGCCTGGTGGCTGTTTTACATTGTTCGATAGCTACTGTACCCTTAGTGTGTCTTAGTTTGTAGCCATTGTCATCTGAAAGTCGAGTGCCATTAGTAGAGGTAAAAACTAAGTGGTTTAGAAGCTTATAGTAAAGTGTCAAGTTTAGTCTCAGGCGTCTTAGCCATAGTGTTTCTAGTCCTAGGGTATCACATCTAGTGGAGTAGTTCGTACCATTTCCGGTTCCGAGTAATTTTAACGTGAAGTACCTCTGCACTCCCTCGACTTTCAATTTGTCCTCTATGCGTATGCTACTATACATGAATGAACAGTAATCGAATAAAGGACGCACACAAACCTTGTACAACAGAATTCTAGACTCATTTCTGTAGAAGTTCCTGAGTAGAAAGCCGATAAGTCTGCGTGACTTTGACACTTGTTTGGAGATGTGTTCAGAAAATGATAAGTTATGTGAATATTTCAGCCCTAGGTCCAGTACAGATTCCAGTCGTTGAAGTGCATGGCCTTGAATTGTCAGGTCAAGTTCTAAGTTGTTGCAACCTATGCAGAGCCAGCCACATTTTTCGACATTAAATTGGAGTTGCCAGGTGTCACACCATCTATCCATTTTTTCTAATTCTTGCTGTATGGCGTTTACTGTTATTCCAAGATCTGTGTTCTTGCATTTATACGTCACTTTTAAGTCATCTGCATATAGTATTGGTTTACCTACACTAAAGCATTCACAGATACTGTTTATATATATTATGAATAAGAGTGGGCCTAATACACTTCCCTGGATTACACCACTACTTACTGGTTTAGGCCTTGAGATTATCGAGCCAACTTTCGTTGTCTGACTTCGGCCACAGAGAAATGATTTTATCCAGCTCAGGAGAGGATCACATATCCCTAGTGAGCATAACCTGCTGACTAGCAGATTATGGGGAACTCTGTCGAAGGCTTTTGTTATATCGAAATAGAGCACAATTACTAGTTCTCTGTTGTCCCTACTTCGTGTAACTTCATTGAAAAAGTCTATGTGACAGGTCACGCATGATCTCTTTTTGAGAAATCCGTGTTGTGATGGATTGATAAGTTCATGTTCTAGTAAGTTGTCTGACACTTGTTCTTTAACCACTTTCTCCATTATTCGGGATATTACCGGTGTTATATTGATAGGTCTATAGTTGCATACACTGGTTTTGGCCCCTGCTTTGTGCTTAGGTAATATGTATGTGGTTTTCCACACTTCAGGATAAGTTCCAGTTTCTAATGAGAGAGTAAATATTCTAAGTAACAAGACTACCATTTCCGTGCTACCATTTTTGTACATGACAGATGGTATGTCATCTGTTCCAGTACTACCATTAGACTTCAAAGTCTTAATCGCTGA